CCCAAAAGCTCTAAAGGTATCAAAGTTGCGTTTTTTTAAATCGAATGTCCTGTATATTCTTGCACTTTTGGATTCGCTGAACAAAATAAGTGTCTGTTTTAATCAGGTTTATAATACCTAAATCTTAAGGTTTTTTAAATAATACGAATTTTATAAATATCTAATCTAATTTTCACGTGTCAAATTCTTTAGAAGTATTTAAGTTATGTAAGCGTAATTTATAGTGAAATGTAACAAGATATAATATTTTATATCCCAATGATAATAAACTTACTATGTTATACAGGGTATCCACAAATTTAAACTAATCAAATAAGAACTTTAAGTGGCTCTAATTTGGTTAATTTAAATACAACCCCATATTTTTAACTTACCAGGAAATGCAATTTTTAATTACCTATCGAATGGTATTAGGATGTTAATAGCTAAGTTTGTACCTTTTTACAAAATACGTCAAATAGTCGTTCTGTGCACCATTTGGTGTTGCTTAATTTAAGGTTCCAATGTATCTAAGTTGCCTATGCCACTTACACATGTCAAATCATTTATTTTATTTGTCAGTTTAGACTGCAAAGTCTCTTTTTGATAGCTGGAGTAGTATTGTTTTTTGTAATTGTAGACGTGTTAGTCGTTATTTTAATATTATTATTGTGTTGCTAAGTGAAAATGAAGAATTACCCAAGAGAAGAGCGTATTGACATGATTTTCAACCTTGGAGAATGTCCTAAAAATTGTTTAGTGGCTTCTCGAGTTTGTGCTCAAAAGATTCTTGAAAGAAATGATCCTAAGCCAACAGTTTTTAAGCGCTTATTACACCAATTTGAGGAAAGGGGGAGTGTCAATTATAAAAAACCCATTACAGGGAAATCTGTCACTGAAGAAGAAGAAAATGTTTTCATAATAATTGGTTCAGTTATCGAAAATCCCAATGTTAGTCAAAATCCAATATCCAAAAGTACTAACATTAGTCAATCCAGTATTTCCAGAATTATCAAAAAACACAACTTTTATCCTTATAAAATTCAGTTTTGCCAAGAACTTTATGGAAATGATTTTGAAAACCGAAGTGAGTTTTGCATGTGGGTGTTAGATAAAGTGGCAGAAAATGAAAAGTGTTTCGAAAATGTGTTATTTAGTAAAGAATGTACTTTTCATAACAATGGTCTCGTGAATAGACACTATTTTCATTATTATTCTGATACGAATCCGCGCACATACAGGGTCATGAAAAATCAAAATAGGTGGTCAGTTAATGTGTGGGGTGGAATACTGGGCCAATATTTAAATGGACCCTATTTTTTGGACATCTAAATGGTTTGATGTGGCTCCAGTTCCTAATAAACCATCTCTCAATATTATGAGAAGAAGTCCCTTTCAATATTAAAACCAACATGTGGCTTCAATTGGATGGAGCTCCGCCTCATTATCACTGCGAAGTTCGGCAACTTTTAAATGCCAACTTTCAAAACAGGTGGATTGGCAGAAATGGGTTTCCAAATTGGCCCCCCAGATCTCCGTACTTAACTCCACTAGATTTCTTTTTGTGGGGGTACATAGAAGGAATTGTCTACCATACGCTTCCGACAACTTCACACGATATGAAAACACGCATAAGAGACGCTTTTAAAAGTGTAACTCCGCAAATGTTGTCCAGAGTTAGCA